ATAATAATAAATTCGTTACAATTTTAACTTCATTTTAGGATCTCACTTTCTTCTATATTTCTATCTGATATGTCCAGATTATAATGTTTATTCAGAACAGCTTCGGTATCGTTCTTGTACCTGATTCGCTGGTTCGTACGACTAATTATCCTATTTGACACCATCACATCAGAAATAAGTACAAATTCAATCCGCAGTTTAGTCGGTCATAACTACTTTCTTTTTCTCTCTGTAAAACATTACGTTTTATTTTTTAATTTCTGGAAGCAACCTGTTAATCTCAATCCATATAAATGCATAAAAGTACAATATGCTCGACTAATAATCACTATTAAGTATTCTTTATATTAATTTTCATCAACGAGTCTTAAAAACCTTGTTCAAAAACAACAATAGCGACACTCGTTTTCACGTTGATTAGTATAAATTTAACAATAATATTTACATGGGCTTGATATAATTACTATACTTGTTCTTTTGTCTTTAGAATATTATGTGATTATCAGCCTGCTCCGTGGCATTGAAGCTGTGACATATAAGGAAACACGTCCCGCATCTGGACCGAATCCCGTGTGGAACCAACCTTTTCTGTTTGACATTCCAGAAACAGAAGTGCATCAGTATTCGTTGCAGTTTTTGGTCATGCTTGGTCGGATCTATTCACGCGATGGCGTTGTTGGACAAGTCCTCGTCGGACCAGGCTCCACACCACTTGGAATAGCTCATTGGAATGAAGCCATATCTCCTTCTACTGTGGAGTCAGCAAAGTGGCATAACATCGTTCAAGCTGATAAGTATTAAGTTTTGCTTGGTGCTAAAGCTGCATGTTCTTTCAAGGGCAATTCCACACCGACATTTCACATGAGCCTATTCTGTCATATCTATTGATTTCCTAATGAAGTAATCAATATAAAATGTAACCACTATCAGTTATAATCCAGTAACTCTCAACAGAATTAATCGAAACAGTCTTAAAACCAAGAAACAGGAAAACCCACGAGAATTCCATATTTGGTCATTACGCACACTGCCCATAACTTGATCAAAATATTATATATAATTTATTTAATCAACTGCTAAAACTTTTTAACGTGATCTTAAAACCTCTGAAGAACGATTACTGCATATGCAGGTAAATTTTGAAAAATGTCCAGAATTTAAATGCAAGTATTAAAAATGTTATTAGCCGTATTCTGAGTATGTTATTGCACGGTGATTTTATAAATATTTCATTCAGAAAAATTAACCAAGATCTTTTTATTAGATTGATTATTATTGATTAATATATGTATTAATATATATGTAGTAATATACGTTTAATATGGTGTATGTAAAAATAAAGATAAAGAAGTTCAACTGAAAATAGTGTGTGTATGTTTTGTTATGTGAAAGCCACAGCTGGCTATCTGCTGTGTCCACAGAGGGGAGTCGAACCCCTAATTTTAACGTTGTAAATCCGAAAACTTACCGCTATCCCACTGGGATGGGACGTAAAAAGAGTCAGGAGAAAGAAGTAACTGTTAAATTAATGAACCGTCAAATAAAGCGTGACAGGACGTGGGTACATGGCCTATAACGATGTGATTAGGCTTGTAAAACGTTTTAATATAACTTACTCGATTCCCTGCAGAACTAAAAAAACAAACAAAAAAAAACAAAAAACGTTGGCTTAACTGTTAAATTAATAAAGCAAATTCTGTATTTTGTTAGCTTAAACTTAACTTGTTTTCAAAAGTCTCACTAAAAACCTGAGTCCATTAAGACTCACTAAAATTAAAAGGTGTGGGAACAAACTAAAAAGTAAGGTATTTTGAAACAAATCGTTACTTTATACGAAAAATGAGATAATCGAACAGATCAGAGCCCGATAAGTTTGTGCATAATCGCCTCTACTTTTGAGCTTCTGACCAGGGTTAAGGCATTTATTCGTCTACATGGTTACGTTTAACTGAATAGTAGGATTGACTGTAAATTTGATAACAAGCCCACATGTCAAACTTCGGAACGTATTAGACGACATATAACGCAGCCCAGTACACTAACCGCTAGGCCAAGGCCACCTAAATATGTAAGAGTTGTACATGTAAATATCGAACAATATTACTTCAAACTATTAAAAATATTGCACAATAATTAGTGTTCTCTCCACTCCATAAGTTATACCGATATGTAGAAGACTCTTGATTAAAACTGATAACACTATGAGTATATTTATTTGGCAGCTATTTTAAACACTATGTATCATCCATATTTCCAGAAACTCAACAATTAACTCATACTGCGTGAGATTTCTGCGATGCCTTCAAACTGTTATTTTTAAATTAATTAAATATGATTCAAACGTTTGTGGTGAGTAATTTCTTTACGGTCAGAGAGGTTTCTAATCATGAACATATACGTTTTATGGAATGTATTATATGTATAGTGCTGAGGATAAAAACTGATCTTATTCCTTTAACTTTGCAGCCTAGGAAATTAAACTTAATAATATCTTGAATACGTACTTATATCTGTTATTGAATTATGTATAGAAACTTTTTTTTCTTCGTAAATACTTTTAAAGACGGCAGATATTTAACTTAAGATTATAGCCATCTTCAAGAAGATAATCACGAGACTATAAGATCGCCAAGTGGACAAACGTGAGATTATAACATCTACAGGTGACAAACCTAAATTGATTACCATCCCAAAGAGAACAAGCATAAGAAATGTTTTCTAGATAAATATTTTTTTCTAGCGTTCAGCTGTACAATATGTTGTCAAGCTAAATTCGACCTATCATAACCATAATAAAAATGGGTTGGTGGTCTGTTGACAGATTAGCTTATAGATTATTTTGCAGCTATACGTATATTTCTGTTTTTTTATCTATCTATATGGCTACTTACCTGTTTATATTACTTCTACTTACTATCTTATCTCTTTCCTATACCTACTGATCTTCTAGAGATATATTTGTCTGTAGATATATATATATATAGTTCTATTAGCGTTTATATAAGCATTCCTTGAAAATGCTAATTTTTCACGTAACTTAACCAAACAACCAAATGCCAACAATTTCTGATTATTTCTTCGTGGAATAAATCTGTAATCTATAAGATATCACGAACAAACAGTAAATATTAACCAATTACTAAGTATAAAAACACTCGCATTCCTTGTTTAGAAAGACAAATCTTAGACTCAGAGACACTAATAAGATATAAAAAATACTGAAATTATTATTTTACGTCAGTAAAGTCGCTTAATAGACTAATCAATGGAGTTTCTGTTCTACCTGGAGTTTTCCTGAAGTGAGTAAAAAATGTTCAATATGTTTGTCAGTAAAATATATCAGATTAAACGCCTTAAGCTGCAGTTCGTACATTAGACGATGTATTAAAGAACATCACCCATTTTTACATCAAAACTACTCATTTGTTAGAAATAAAAAGGGCCAAAAAATTAATAGTAAAAGGTAAGTTCAATTTTTGAAGTTCTACTCTGAAACTCAAGTTAATATTTATCATTAGAATGCATCAGTGACGTTTTTACTTCACACACGATCTATAAACAACAAATGTTTCCTACTGAATACCTTCAGTGTTAGTTTCTTGAAGATACTTTACAAGTTAATATTTATCATTAGAATGCATCAGTGACTACTTTTACTTCACACACGATCTATAAACAACAAATGTTTCCTACTGAATACCTTCAGTGTTAGTTTCTTGAAGATACTTTACAAGTTAATATTTATCATTAGAATGCACCAGTGACCACTTTTACTTCACACACGATCTATAAACAACATATGTTTCCTACTGAATACCTTCAGTGTTAGTTTCTTGTGCTAGAGTTTACAAAATCGTTTCAAACATCTTATTTCAATAGAACTTACTTTATAATTAATCTGGTACTTATATATTCAGTTTTTTAGATAGTAATACAAACATTAGAAAGTAGATTTAGATGTTGTTATTCTAAGCATCTAAGAGTGAAAGTAAATATGAATGTAGAACAATATGTCAGCCACACGATATCTGCTACTTCCAGTGTCGACGAAGCTTTTCGCGCAACGCCAGCGGTCATCAGGCCGGCTGTGATAAGACAGACATAATAGTGGTTGAGATGCTGTATTAAGTTTTTACTGATTTTTAATAAATTATTTGGTTCAGAAACATTATAATCTAGTAAAGTTTGTGTGTTTTTGATATTCGCCCAAAGATACAAAAGAGCTATCTGTTTAACACGTCCATAATTATGAACATATAGACTAGAGGGAAATCAACAACATTTACCATCAGTTCTTGAGATACTCTAAATGAATTTTTGAATTTGACACTCACCCACCCTCCCAGTATGTCTGCGGATTTACAACGCTAGAAACCGGGTTTCGATACCCGTGGTGGGCAGAGCACAGATAGCCCATTGTGTAGCTTTGTGCTTAATTTCAAACAAACAAAACAGTCACTCGGATACGATTTTGCGGTAACAGGACACGAACGAAGACTATCAGTTTCACAATCTGGGTCGCTAACTACCAGGTCACGCCTGGCTCATCTAGTAAAGATAATTGCGTACTGATTCTTCATTCTTGTTCGCCATCTGTTGTTCAAAATTGGTATCACAATGCTAGTCTGCGAAAATGAAACTTACCCATGCTGCTTACGCCATCTCTTGTCATAAACAAGAAATAAACTATTTAAAATTCAAAAACAGCTAAAATGGGATAGAAAAATATATATCATTTAAAAACAACGTTTCGCCACTGTTAACGTGGCATCATCAGAAGAAATAAGTTAGTGTTTAATATAATTCTCACAACGCTTTTAACTAAGATGACAAACAAATTGGTATCCTTAAAAAGATATTACCTTTGACAATTATCATTTTAAAAAGATATAATGTTAATTTACAGTGGGTATTTAGTTGGTGTAACGTAATAAATATATGTATTTTAGAATTTCGCGCAAAGCTACGCAATAATTATCAGACCATA